GAACACTTGATCAACTCATGTCACTCTATCAATCCTCATAATAATTTTTTAAGTTCATCTATCAAATTCATGCTAACGTGTTGCGTCTTCTTCGTCGTAAACTTCTAAAGACAGCACAGGTGTCTTGGGCATTCATGAAGTCAAGTCAGATCCTTTTAAACCAAAGAAGTATGTACAGTCCCTATTTTTTTAACTTGATCGTAGAAAAGATAAACACTTATTTATATTTCATTCTGTTTATTAAGTTAATCTATATGCCCTTCCCTTATTACTATTGTTATTATTCTTACTATGAGCTGTCTGAGGTCCCATTTGTCAATTTAATCAAAATGTTTTTGCACTTATCAAATTTCATATCATTTTAAGTAAGGTTTCTTATCTGACTACTAATCGTATAACTTTACACACACCTCCCCACCCTTCAAACATATATTACATCCTATGAGTTATTCTATGCATGACATTAATTGTTTTGCCACTTGACAGTTGATATTTCCAAGTATTGCTTTTGTAGGGATTCTGTTTGATTGGTTACAGGATTTCATCACGAGCTGACATTACTTAGAGAACCATTGGAAAACCAGTCACGGAGTACTGCACAGCTGTTTTGTCAGCCTAGTTTGGGATTCCTCCTCACTACGCACCCACACTGCGGGTTCGAACACAGGACGTTCTAGTTACAAGGCGAGCGAGCTCACAGAACATTAAGCCACTGGGACCCGACCTAATGGCTAGTTCATGAATTCCGAAGACACTGGCTAGTACTAGTCATGCTATGTCGTGAATTGGCAGAGGTTGGAATTCATGGGCTGGCAACTGGATCGAGTCCCAGTGGCTTAATGGTCTATGAGCTCGCTCGCCTTGTAACTATAAGGTCCTGTGTTCGAACCCGCAGTGCGGGTGCGTACTGATGATGAAGAGTCCCAAACTGGGACGAAACAGCTGTCCAGTACTCCTTGACTAGGGTTCTCCAATGGTTTTCTAACTGATATCAGCTCACGATAAAATCCTGTAACCAATAAACGTTAATGACTGTTACCAGTCCGCACAAGTAGCTCGACAGAAATGGGGTGATTTGAATGGATTCGGCTTCGTGAGCTCAGTCAAACCAGATAGATTTATCTACTGTTGATGAACTTGTTCCCAAAAGGAGAGAAATGGCTGTCTAGTGTTTGGATCACCTATATCTGGCCAAAAAGAACTGATATATAACTATTGATCTCGACCAACTAATCAATACTATTGATAGGACCCAGCATAATATAGTATATCATTCTTTTTTAAGATTGTACCGATCAGGAATCGAACACGGACTACTTGCGTTATGGTCGGTAAAAATACTACCCCTGAACAACCGATTATAATTGTACATGTCTTTATTTCGAAAACTCTACAGAATTACTAGACATAATCTTCACAGTTACGTTGGTGTTCCACTAGGCGTAACTCATTCACATCCGTATCATGTCAACATGTTGTAACAAATTTTATGCACCTTATTCCAAGTGTTGTATGTTCTAATGATAACCCTTTGGTGAAAGCTGTGTGCAAGACGAAATTGTAGACACCAGTTTAAGTCAATGTTTACATCCCATATCTTGCTCATGAGAAGAAACAAAAAAGCCTAACCTTAAGGAATTTAACAACCAATCACAGCACACTTAGCGTGGGCGGTTACGATTCGCAGATATATCAACGGGGTTTGTCTAAGAAACGGCCACAAAGAGAGATGACAGAATAACCTTGAGCAAGAAAACAGCCAATCAGAAGACGCTGCTTCTCCGCTAACAATAACTAGTAATAATGTACATAAAAACCTATAAATATCTGTTGATTAAACGATCTGTAGCCTGGCCCTTGTCTCCTGTCGTTACAATCCTAGCTTACATTACATTTCACTAAGATTCATCAATACGAACATGCGAAAGTTACTATGAAGTATAACTATTCCGCCTAACCAGGTCATGTTCAATGGATAATACTCCAGGTAAAACTGAGAAAGTATGCTGGTGGTCCATCTGAATAACCACCTCAGTCACCTTGAAGTAGCAGCCAGTCAGAGTGTGTAAACCAGACAAATTTAGACACACAAAATAGCCATTCTGTGAATAAAATGTTTAAACACGTGTAAGAACGTTATTTCAACAGACTTTCTACCTTAAAATTCTATGAGTATAACTCCCAAGGTCAGAAGAGAATTGTAAACGTGTAAATCTAAGGTTAAGGTGTGATTAGAGAGATGTCGTTAAGATCCATCTGTCAAGGCTTAATTTTAAGGTAATTTTGTGGTGAGAGCTGGCTGCTAGCCAAAGTTGGTAGACAGTAATTGACGTCAATGTTTATGTCCCCAATATTGGTGGTGAT